AGCAGTGTGCAGCCACCCTGACTGGCCGGGGGGGTTCCTACCTTTCACCAAACAGCTTTTCCGCACTGTTCACATTAAGCATGGAGAATGGAGGAATAAACCCAAACTCATTAAATTGCTTTTTCCAAAAATAATGCACCTATATGATGCTTGTTCAAGAATAACGTGTATATAATGATTTTCTGAATGTGTATATGCCAGGTCACTGAGGATTTATGAAAGAAAACCCAGAGAGATGATGAAAGCCAGCATGTGGATTTGGTGGGAAATCACCCATTTTATAGTATTGTGCACTCTCAGGCCTGAATTCATAGAAAGAGCTGAACTGAGGTAATGAACTGGGACTTCTTGGGATACGACTTTACTGCTCTCACCTTCTGTAGAGCTGGCAGGGATGATACCTGTCATAGACCCCATCCTGTCTATCACTTTTCTAACTCTGCCCCTATTTCTGCAATCTCCTTAGCCACATCCTATCTCAGGAGGATTCACCCCATTTACAGTGGTGTGGGAGCTTCCTACAGGCTCACAGCATCAAGATTACAGCCATAATACATGGAGCAGCATCACATAGGGGCACAGCACACAACTGACAGCCACCATGCTCTACCAACCCCACCTGCATGCTGAGTCCCATCCCACCCCGAGACAACGGCTCCAGCATCCGCCACCTGCATCTCCTTCCTTAGAAGACTTCAAGGAGTGATTTAATGCACTAACAGAACTATTCTCAAAATGAAACCAATAGGGAACAATATTGCTGCTGAATCTGGAAAAGACTTAATCTACTTAATGCCATGGAAGAACATTAGTGGGATTACTCAGAGCATCTTTGGAAGAAACTTCTGGATCAAAGATGTGCTTAGTTTTTTTCCCCATTCTTCTCCAATCTCCTGGATTCCTTCCAGTCATTACTGGCATTCCCTACTTCTATACCTTGCTCTCAAACCCGATGTCTCCCTTGCCACAGTCTGCAATAAGCACCCTTTCCTCCCACTTTGTAGCTCTGGAGGAAGCCAAGGTCCATTCTCCTCTGCCCCTTGGCCAGTCCAGAAAAACAGGCCTACTCTCTCCCTTTATAGTCTCCTAGTGTCAACCAGACTTCGTGATCCCACGGGTGGCTGGTACAGAACCATCAGAATTCCCTGGTGACAGTGCCTGGGATTAGATGCTCTGACCACCATGTCTCAGCCACCAGCCCCAGCACTGGGAAAGGGAGGAGCTTTGATCACCCTGTAATGGAGCCAACAGATCCATTTAAGCCTCAGAGATATCTCTGACCACTTGCAAATGCTCTCCTGACCAGGGGGCTGGGACAGGGTAGGGAAGGGAATCTCTACAGCATCCCTGTTCTTGAGTTCTTGAGTTCCAGGTGGCCAGGCATGTTGTGCCTTGTCACAAGTGGACAAGTCACATTGCTCCTCTCTGTGGAAGAGGAGCTGAACCTCTCAGTCCCCTTCTCCCCCATGGCTGTAAGGAGCCTGAGATAAATACACAGGAATAATAATTGTAAAGGTTTTCAAGTAAAGCACCTAACATTTCTGTTCTGAGTTTTCATATTTTAATCTCTCTCCTTGTAATATAACTCCACCATAAAGCCCGGAGAAGAGAAGTCTCTGGGGAGACCTTAGATCAGCCTTTCAGCACCAAAAGGGGGCTTCCAAGAAAGATGGAAGTAAACCTTTTAGCAGAGCCCACTGTGATAGGACAAAGGGGGATGGTTTCAAACTGAAAGAGATTTAGACTAGACATAAGGAAGAAATTTTTTACAATGAGGGTGGTGAAACACTGGCACAGGTTGCCCAGAACAGTCGTAGATGCCCCATCCCTGGAAACACTCAAGCCCAACTTGAAAGGGGCTTTGAGCAACCTGATCTAGTGGAAGGTGTCCCTGCTCACTGCAGAGGGGTTGAACTACATCATATTTAAAGGTCTCTTCCAACCCAAACTATTCTATGACACTATGATAAAGTTCAGTGGTCCACAAAAAACTTCAGCAAAATCATAAAACTTAGGACCTGCGATTTCTACATAGAGGCACCAGAAACCCACAGGCAAAATATATATATATATATATATATATATGGTCAAAAAGAAAAAAAAACATGAAATGAAACATTTCTTGGGCCTTCCTCAACATAACACCAAGGATCAATGGAAAAACACAATCACATTTGTTTTCTCCTGGTGCTGGTCATGTTTAACAGAAAACACTTGTACACTTGCCCTGTCTCCAGTTTTCATAAGCAGCACATAGAGCATCAGTGACCTCGCAGTTGCATGCTATGACAATAAATAAAGTTAGAAACGTTATTTGGGTTAGAAACCCACAACAACTCCTTTGGTCCCCATTGGTCACAAACACACATGCAGTAGCAACTAAGCAAGGGAGAAAACACCAGGTTTGGGGCTCCTGAGAAAGCTCCATCAGATGGCTCCCACTCAGAAACACTGTCATGGTGCAATTTCTGATAAATGAATGAAAAGACACAAGGCTGCTCTTCTCAGCCTGTGGGTTAGTCTGTTTGCCCGCAGCACAACCGGCTCTGAAGTGGGGAGCAAGCCCCATCTCTGCAGCTCTTGTATTCATCACCCACTCCAGCTGAGAACAACAACCTGCTCCGGCCTGCAGTACCCTTTGTAGGTGATTATGGGAAACAAAAAGGACTAAATTCAAAGCAGGTTTTCAAGGGGGGGGGGGGGGGGGGCTGTCCAAAACTGCTGACTGAGGAGGAGGACAAAGCCAGATGGCATATGCTGGTATTGTTAGGGATTGTGCAGTGTAAGGCAATAGGAAATGAGCAGAGAAAAAGACCCGGGTTGGTCCCATGGCTCCTCTCTTGCCAAATGAACATACCAGGGTGACCATGAAGCAATCAGTTTATGGGTCTCATTCCCCTCCACCCCAAGACTGAACTTAAATATTTGTATAAGCCCAGGCATAACTTTTATCTAACGTTTTCCTTGGGGTTTACTGGATGTTTCGAGCATTCGAGCTAAAAAGCATTCCCTCAGACTCTTGCCACAAAAAGAGCTGAAACTATGATACTAATTAAAACCACACTCCTTGGTATCAAGAAGCCATGCTATTATTTTCTCCTTTTGCTCATGAGAAGCTGTTAATACGGGCAACGCGTCTGGAACATTTTCCTTTCAAACGCCATGCTCCGTACCCCCTCCTGCTCAGGTCGGCTGGTTTGTGAACTTGTCAGCAGTCTGGGGTGGGAAGGCTCGTACTGACAAGCACAGGTTTAGTTATGCTTTTAACAACAACCCATTTGCCAGCTTAACCTTATGAAAAGCACATCAAGAAGACAAACCACAGCACCTCGATGCTGCACGAAAGGTGACAAGCTAAAGAACTGTCCTGCCTTGGCGCCCAGTGGGCCCAATCAAGGGATGAATCTTGCCAAAATATACCATACGTTTTGGAAAACAGCCTCTGACTTTGCCAAGATGCTCCTGGACGCTCGGATTAGACCAGAAAAGGATGTGGGTTGCACGGTGCACCACTGCTGATCCATCCTGGGCTAAGGTCAATTGAAAAAAAAGGTAAGATTTCATTCTCATTTTACCATGCCTAGTTTGAATGCTTCTAAGGTCTCCATTACTGTGGTATCAGCACCTCATAAACGTTAACAAAATTGTCCTTATAATGTTTCAGGGCAAAACTCTATTAGCACATTTAAAGGGTGGAAAACTAAAGCACAAAAAGAAATCAAAATCAAAAGGCAAGGTTTGTGTTCAGTGCAATCTTTAAAAGCACCCACGTGTGTCCTGAGAGGGCTAAATCCGGTTAAAAATGAAGTTTCCCTGTCCAAGGTCAAACAACAGTGTCTCATCCAGAGCCTAATTGCACCACAGAAGAGCAGGAAGCAGAGAGAACCGACTGCTTCAGCCCAGCCCTCCCGCAGCATCAATTCCTAAGTCCCTACCAATCTGAAGCAGCATCCTGGATGCTGCCTACTTTGCCAAGCAGCTCTGCAGCAGGCAGGAGCTGGCTGCCTCAGCCAGTGGCTGCTGTGAGAGATCCAGGCTTAGGAGCATCCACACCACACACAGGGACAGGAGAGGAAGGCACTTGTCCCGCAGGTGTCACTCTCAGGACCACAGAAGTAAATACTGCTTCATCAGAGCAACCTGGTTTCTGGTTTCTGTTAGGGAGCGCGGCTTTCACTGCATTGACTCAAAACAAAACTCAGCTTCCCCTTTTAACAGCCACAGAGATGCCAGATTTTAATTCCTGGGGTGTAAAGTGCAGGCAGTGGAGGAGAGGGGCCTTTGAGATCTTCTATTTTACATGTACTTTCTGGTGATAGTTTAGCTTTGAGCAAGCTCCTGCCTGGTTAGCAAGCTCCTAGGTTCACCAATACAGAAGAGCTGCCTAAGTTACAAAACCAAGTTAATAGACAAAAAAGAATGACTTCAGCAAAGGAGTTAAGCTAGATGGGTGAATAGCTGTAATTTGTTGCATGCTTCCACAGTGCAGGGATCCAAAGTAATAAAATGTTCCTGTAATGCTAGAACCGTGAGGCCCAGCCCCAGTGTGATGTTTGGATTCCAGTAAGAGCCCTGCCACAGCATCCCTTGGCTCACCACTGGAAGGAGCCTTATGTGCCTACCTCCCTGGTGCTGACCTCCCTGCACAGCCCTCTGCTTGTCCTTTTCTTTTGAATTCCCCTCCAAAGAAGGTTCAAGTAATGAAGTTACCGTGGAGGCAGCCACAACAGTGGGATGCCAAGATGACATCTCACGTCAACACAATGGCAAAGCACAAACGCATCCGTATCCAAAGGGGAATCCCAGGGCTGGCTGCAGAGCAAAATATTATGGGGGGGGGGGGCTACAGAAGAGCATGGGCTGCCTCTCAAACCCCACATCCCCTCCGTCCTGCTTCTCATTTGAGGCTGACAGGCAAAGCTCGGACACATCATTACAGCCTTGAGGAGGCTGCTAAAGGTAACACTCATGTTACAAATGAATTAATAGGAAACACTTACCTTCCCCACTAGCTTGCCTTTCCTGTTCATGCAAAGGTAGAAGTCTGTCTCCTTCCCTTTGATCCGGACTTGACTGCCAAAAGTGTCTGTTTCCACTAGAAGCTGGGCTTGTAAAGGAAGAAGAGAAAGAAAAGCATTTACCAATGTGGTCCAATTAAGTCAGAGCATGCAAAGCCCATCAGCACATTGTCCCATTACCTCCACTTGAACCACACTACACTGGGATGCTCTGCAAGTGACCAACCCAAGGAACCACCCAGGGCTGAGCTCCAGGCTCAGGCAGAGGTGCAGACACAGCATATCTTCACTGACCCCTGTATGGATGCTCTGGGTTAAATGCCAGTTAGCACAGAGTGTGCACATACACATGTGTGCTCCATCTATCTACACCAACCCCACTTCCCCATCAGCAACACAAAGCTCAGTGCTAGCGTTCTCCTTCATACTACAGGAGGGTTTTCAGAGGGTAAGAACACAGATTTTATCCTCATGAAGAAAAGAGGTTAGCATGACAAGAATAAAAACCCTTTCCCCACAGCCAGCAGCCCTCAAACACTGCACAGAAGTGGTCCAGCCACACACTCGTGGCACAAAACATCACAGTGATCTCCTGAAGGTCACCACTACAGCTAGCAGGGGAGAAATTCAGTGCTGCTTGTTCTGTCTGATGAACACCTGCCCTGCAGACATCCTCTGTGTGTCTAGCCACGTTCCCCAGAGGTCACCAACTGCCTTCTGGCAGTCCAGGTCCATGACTCCTTCTCTAGCTAGGAGAAATATGGACAATCTCACAGTGCCTCACATGGTTATTGAGGCCAGAGCTGGTTTGCAGCACTGCCAGGAGCCATGGTAGAGGACAGATCTCTGCTGCATCTTCATAAACCACCTGCCCTGACACAACTGTATTTGCAGAGGTGCCAAGCTGCCACCCAGATGTGTATGCACCATGCCATCATCATCTCAAAAATCTGGACACGGCCAAATTCAGTGTTTTATTCCACCTCTGATCTAAACACACATTCCAGTCATGCTCAAGGTTCGGATTCCAGGAATTTCCCTGGAGAGGAAGGAATAGGCAGACTGGACATTTTGGTTCAGATCCACCTCCGATATGGAGGGAGAGAAAGGAGACATGGTCGAAACACAATGCAAGAATGTGTAAGTGTCAGCAAGCACAAATCCACGGTCCTGCTCTGGAAATACTCACGCTTGTAAGACCTGAGCTGTACCATAGAAACAGAGCCTTTGCCAAACTCTGGAGAATGTTTGATCTGTGCTGCAAAAAGTCACATTCTTTTCGGCATTCATATTTCAAACTTCAAAACTCTCTAAGAGCAAATACGTTCACTGTAAGGATTTACCATGGGGATAGAAATAGGAGTTTGTTTCATTTAAACACATTAATATTTTTCCCACTTGTAAAGTCAGCTTCTGGCTTCTGCAGCAGTGCAAATATCACAAACCTTTAACTCACAAGGGCCCTAAACAGAGTTTTCCCTTTGCAGCTCAGTCATATAGGCAAGTTCAGGGTTTTCCAGTTACTAGCTACTTACATTTACTTAGATGTATTTGTTAAACCCGTAATCGAGGGGGATATATTTAAAGCTTGTTTCTGACAGCAGATGGGATAACGCCTTTATTACAGCAGAACATTACTTGCAATCAAGCATAAATATGGAAATTTATCTAAGTCTTTCAGAATTGTACCATGGTTTTGGGGTGTCTGTGACAGAAAGCAGCTTGCAGGTGACAACTGGGTGCTGCAGGCTTTTCTCTCCACACCTGCCAAGGGGGAACTGAACCAGCAACCACTTAAGTGAGGAAGAGCCATCTGAACCAGAAATATATTTTAAGGATATCAAGATAAGCCAAGCCAGGATGGGGAAGGATGGCACAAGGCCAAAGACAGGTCTTCAAGGGGAGACTGACCAATATTGGTATATAACTTGGTGAATGCTGACTGCTCCAAGAAGTCCTGTGAGGCTGCTCAGATGCAACACAGCATTAATAGGCAAGGGAATAGGCAAAGGTACAGAATCCTAGATTGATTTGGGTTGGAAGGGACCTCAAAGCTCATCCAGCTCCAAACCCCTACCATAGGCAGGGACACCTTCCACTAGAGCAGCTTGCTCCAAGCCCTCTCCAGCCTGCCCTTGACAATCTTTAAAGAGGTGACTGTGAAAGGTCTTCCCCACATGCAAGCAAAGGGCTAATGGTCAGCCTCAGAGGGGAAGAGCAGCAGCCTGCACACAGGGGAAGAGGTCCCAGAGATTGGCCCAGGAACCACGGCCACCACCCACAGCACCAAGGAGTCACCCACAGATCTACAGGGTTGAATCCAGCCAGGCAGCAAATGGACCCCGAGCCCCCCACCAAAGGGGTCTGGTGAGGGCTCCACAGCTTGCACAAGCAAGAAGAGGACACAGCAAGTTCCCCAGCAGGCTGCAAGGCATTCCTTGTCCATTCCAGTCTCAGTGCTGTGACTAAAGCTGCCAAGCATAATGCTGCACATTAGGTACGGGTTGTGGCCAGCCCAAGCAGGAGCTAACATTGATCAAACGCTCCAAAGTGAGAGCCTTGAGCTGTGATGGACAGTCAGTACCCTGCATCTCTCCAAGGCAGGTCCCCATGGCAGCCTGCGCTCAGACGGACAAACCCTCTCCCTCTGTAGCCAGTGTGAGTAATATCCAAGCTGATTTTAATTTGAAAAATATCACCTTAAAAAGATGCCGGTTCCCTGCTGTGAAAATTAAAACCATCTGGATGGAGTGATTTCAAATAATTAATCTAGGTCTCCTTTGGCACCGCTACTAATTAAAATATGATACCTTCCTCCCCCTTGTTTTTAAATAAAGAATTTAAATAAAGTTTAAAGAGCTAATAAAAATAATGTCATAATTTAAAACTAAATGGAAGTCACCTTTCCTGCGAGCTGCAGAGGTTACACCAGCGCTGAGATCCCTCCTGCGCTAATGAACAGCATGGACCAAGCAGGAGCGGATGGGCCAGCATCCAGGGTGACATCCACCCCTGTAAACACATTCCCCAGTACCCTGAGGGGGCTTTGCGAGCCCTGGGAGTCATCCTGCACCCAACGCCTAGGAGTGGGAAGCAGAGGAAGGAGGTTCAGCTGACACTGTCTGCTCCCCGCTGTGACCCTGGTTGCCAAAATACAGGCTAAGGGCACCCGTAGGGACCTGCTTCTGAAAAATCTGAGTCTAAAGATGCTGGCAATGTGTTCTTATTTCTAGGGATCCTTGACCTTCTTTCCTACAAGATAGATCAGTGTGGCTTTAGGGTGAGGTTCAGAACCCAGTTGGCTTCCAGCCTAAGTCATCGCTTACAGCTGATTTCTCCTTTTTACAACAGGCATCTCCCTAAATGCCCTCAGGAGCCAGACCTCGGGCAGCACATCTAGTCAGGTGAACCCCAGCCCTGAACACTGCTGCAGGAGGTCCTGGGGAATGGAAGCTGGCCCAGCAGAAGGGGCCGCTGAGGTCTCCCACCGCACTCACACATGGTAAGGGAAAAGCTCAGTCACCACCAACAGGAGTTAAGTTCACATAAACTTGGCTTGATGTCTGGTCTCTATGGTATTCTACAGCCACAACTAAAGCATTAGGGAAAATCAAAGGGAATTTCCATTGAGACTCAGGTAAAATAGGTCCCACCAAGCCAGGCCAGTGTCCCCACAGCAGTCTGCTGCTCCAGACACCTGACTCCCAGCTCCATTAGTCCCTGGATACATCAGAGAGATTACAATCTTTATTTTCAACAGCCCTGCACTCCAGCCTTCAGATCAGGTATTATTGTTTAAATTCTTTGACAGCTAGATATTCTGATATATTTTCCAAAGGGGGAAAGAAAGAGCAAAAGAGAAAAGATGTCTTTAGAGGGTGAGATCTTCTGCTACATGCTTTTGCCTTATTGGCCCATTTAACCTAAACCTTCCTGAAAACTCCCACTGGAAGAGACTGGAATTCCTCACAAGTCTAGGTGAAAAGGATTACATATATATGCTGAAAAGCTATCTTCCAGCTAAGAAAACATGAAGTCAGGGAGATATGTGAAGGTGGCAGAAAATATGCCAAATTATCTTTCAAATATATCCTGGGAGTGGGAGGACGGGAGCCAGAAAAGCACGGGCAAAGAAAAGAGAAAGAGGGCACCTAAGAAGAGCAAGGTTTACATGTACCTATCACAAAATCCTTAGCACCAGCCAGTTTCAGATAAATAAAGAGATAAAGGGGAAAACAAGGAAGGTGCAGAAGGACTGGGTACTTTCAGTCTATTCACCATTCATTTTTTTACAAAATAAACATTTTTTACAGAAATAAAGTGCCTCCGCTTACGCTGCCCACTGGCATCTTGCAGCAGGTCAGAGATCACAGATTTCCTGGGTCAAGGGTGCTTAGAGAAGAACAAGATTTTGTTGCCTTTGATGCAATTATGAAGTTGTGGAAGCCACTCTCAGCCCTTAAAACCATTTCCAATTAATGAAGAAAGAGGATGTACAGATACCCCAAGGCTGGGACCTGTGATGGAGGAAGGCTTTCCAGTTTAGTGACTGTGGTGCTATGAACCCAGACAAGCACATTTCCATAGCTCACAGCATACACTGTACCTGATGGGAGAGTAAAGTTTACTCTCTGGTAAGACTGAACCCCAGCATGGCCAAGGGTTCTTAAAATAGTTGAAACCTGTTCAAACACAGCCTACCCCCTACCAAAACCATGTGAGTCCCTTACGTGACCACAACATAGGAGAGAATGACCCTGTCTCCACTTCCCATTCCTGACGTAATGACAAGGCAATAACTTCAAAATTAGGTAAAGTCTGGAGGGTCTCATAAAGCCCACAGGCTATGAACGAGTGAGGGAAGGCAGGCTGCATCCTCCAGTTCTGTTTGCATACTTGTATATTCCTCCAAACTGTACCATTTTAGACAGTTATAACTCATACAACCCGATTGCCTTCTCAATTATTCAGGTGCCAATCAGGAGTAACCACCAAAATCAATAAGGCTGGTGCTCAGGAGGGCAGAGCTCTGACCCACATACCACTGCAATTAGCTCATCCAGTCTGTCTTCAGCGAGCATAGGATATG